ACATTCTAGTGCTGGTATTGACCAAACTTTCCTCATGTAGATCAAATTTCCAGATGTCATAAATAGGCCACCACCCAGGATGAGAGAAGGAGTTTGCAAAATCTGGACAGGCTGGAGGACTGGGCTGAAATGAACAAAATACCCTTCAATAGTGAAAAATGTAAGTTATTATATTCGGGGAATAAAAATGCAGAGCACATATACACAATGGGAGATTCATGGCTTGGAAGAGCACTATCAAAAAGGGCTTAGGCATTGTAACTGAAAACAGGATGAACATGAGAAAACAGTGTGAGACAGTTGTTACAACGGCCAAGGTAGGTCTGGGTACTTTAGAAGAAGCATTGTACTCAAAGCACATGGCATCCTTATTCTCCTCTACTCTGCAATGGTACGAACCCAATCTGACTACTGTGCACAAATCTGGACATCATATTTCCAGGATACTGAGAGGTTCAAATATATTAAGAGGAGAACAACAAAAGTAACAATGCAAGGAAGGGAGGACATTCCTATTAGGGCAGCCTCGAGAAAGAGTACTCTAGATCAGGGGTCTTCAACCTTAGCAATTTTAAGACTTGTGGACTTCAACTCCCAGAATTCTTCAGCCAGATTTGTTTTTGGGAGTTGAAGTCCACAAGTCCTAAAATTGCCAACGTTGGAGACCCCTGCTCTAGATTGCTTTAGGGAAGATGGTCCACTGCCACAAAAATCAGGGCTAGGTAGAAGTTGCACTTCCAACTGTTATTTAAATGTAAGGGAAAAATTCCTGAAAATAGAATTTGTACAATAATGGAATGATCTGCCTATGAAGGTTCTGAGCTCTTAGTCAGACAGCCCTCTCTCAAGGATCTTGGAATTGTACACTGCAAGACCTGGACTACGGGATCTTTCTCCCCTTCCAAATCTATCATGCTATGAATAGAGAAACTTTGCTGCATCCAAGTTACTGGTTTACAATTCCCCCAACAAAGGCAGCATTACCCATTGTAAGGGATGTTGAAGTTATAATTCAGCAACACCTAAAGGGTTCACAGATTCCCCTCTCCTGGCTTAGAACACGCTAATATTATTTTCCTTCCTAAAAAATTTCTGAGATATTTAGTAGTCTAAATAAGGAAAATACCATAACCATGCTGATTTTTTTTAAAGCCAGTAATTAATACTGAGCTTGAGCACAAGTTTTCATTTGCAGAAGAAAATATTGTTGACTAAAAGCCTTGTCAGTAAATATAGAAAGAACCTGACATGAGAATAGATAACACTTATTATATGAGTATGAAGAATATTTACTCATATCAAGACTGTTGGTCCATATAACACAGCATTATCTATATTGAGTGTTACTTGTTTTCTAAACAAATGATATCCAGTATGATCTAGTGGTTAAGGCACCAGGGTGGAAAACAGAAGACTATGAGTGCTAATCCTGGTTTAGGCATGAAAACATAAGGCTGTATGAATTTGAGCCATTCATTCTCTCTCAGTCCACGTTAGGATCAAGTGACAAGCCAGTTGGTCAACTCTGTCATGACCAAATGCATCAATATTCAGTTGATGCAAAAAAAAGGGGGGGGGAATCAATCCCTGCATTTGTGGAAAAATGCTAGGAAGTGGGGGAAGAAAATCTCTTTTCTAGCCTACCGCATTTATGATTCTTCTCTCAAATTGTGCTGAAATTAAAGTTTGACCCAGTAATTTATATTTTGCTTGGCTGACAGAGGAAACATATCCTACAACAGCACAATACGCTTCCAACACAGAAGCAACTGTATTAAAATTCAGCCCCATGAGGAGATGGATAGCATATAAATGTAATAAATAAATGGAGGTTTTTGGCAGTGGATCCTGAGCATATCTGTACCTCATCTATAGTTGGGTGCTAATTTTCTAGGGTTGTAGGCTATTGAAATTACACATGACTGAGTAGGGGAAACTAGCCTTTGTAGCTGATTTTTGATGCAAAAACAAATCAAACAATCATTATTTTCAGACGCTGAAGGCTCAATAAAAGTACGTTTTTCTAACACACTACTAGATTTACTAGAAATAGTTTAATATGTATAAAATATTATATTAATATAGGTTTTTAGCTTAGAAAAGTAAAAATAAAGAGAGTATAAAAATCAGTGAAATAAAAATTTATTTATTCCTTTTTATAATATCAAAACCAAGATCACCAACCACACAAGGAATTGATTCCTCACAGAGCAGAGCAGTTGTATTATGGGATTTATTTCTTAAGATATAGGGATGGTCATAAACTTGTTATGGTTTTAAAAATGAATGAGAAACATTCATGAAGAATGAGGCTATCACTGGATGCTAGTCCTAATTGCTTATACACTACCTTTTATATCAGAAGTAGAATGACTTACAATATCAACTGCTAGTGAAAAATAGCAAAAGAATGCTAAGTGGCCATTGAAAAAACAGAATCCTAGAATTCGAATTTTTGTCTAATCCAACATGGCTTTCTTAATAACAACATGCGGATATTTTTACACAAGCTTAATAAGTTTACAAATATGCTTTATATAAAAATTATTTTTGCTAGTGTTGCAAAGCAGCACATGAACACTTAACTTCATTTACAGTCGGTTACACTGAAATTAACTGAATTTAATTGGAATAAATGGAACCAGGTTTTTACACTGTTCATGAAAAAGATGAAAGGTAATTTTTAGAATTATTAACAATAAAAAGAAATATCTACTTATGATCCAGGACTTAAATTTTCCTATATCTTTGGTTGTCATGTTCTTGGTTAACAATTATGCTATTTGCATTTTGATTGCATTGCAAGATTTCTCACTTTTACAGCACCCCTTAAAATTCCCATTTTACAATTCATTCCTTAAGTATGACACAGGTTTAAATAGCAGACATTCAGTTTTGTTTCAAATTGTAAAAAAAAAATATATTAAAGCAATTAGTATAAAATTATTGGTATACCAATTTGGGGTAACTCAAGCATATTTACAACTGACCGAAGTCAAAATAATAAATCTAATATCTCGACAAACCAGAGTGTAATCTAGACAAACTGGAGTGTGTTTAAAAATGAAATCAAACTCTCTGAAACTAGAGCCCAGTGCACTAGTTTTGTTCTCCCAGGCCTTCCATTCTATACACTACAGTTGTGGAGATGTCCTCATTTGATTCGGGTGACACTTTTTTCCACACAGTCTCTTTTAATGCAAGTTCGTGCTGAAGACTCTCATAGTCCAGTGGTCCAAAGGAATGCTAATTGTTTAAGCAACATATAGTTTGCATTAAATTATCAATGAAATAAAACATTCTAGCATTATTTTTATTTATCAATTAGCAGTTGCTGGCTCTCAGAGATCTCTCTCAACCTGACATTATTATGCCACACACTTTTTAATTTCAAACTACAGTAAATAATTTATTTAATTTGGTGAAAGGGAAGAAATACTTCTTTAACCCAATTCATTCATAACAGGATGCTGATTGTATTAATTAGCCATACAGCAACTTTCATAGTAGAATTCCTGAGTTGCTAACAGCACCCCTACAATCCAGCTTCTCCCAGTTTAATTCAAGTTGGACAATTCAGCCTTCCCTCTATCTTAGACAAATATGGTTTTCAAACTACTATGGCAATAATTATTTATGCCAAAGCTTTATCAAAAATGTTAGAGAAATGAGTAAAGGACTGAAACATGTTAACGGTACAAAGCCAAAATTCTAAGTTCCAATCTTTTTCCCATCCCAAACTCGATCCAAAGGGCAAAACATAAAAATTTTCTGTGAACTTACACATTCTATAGTGCAAATGGAAATCCGAAGTCTAAATAATGACTACTGCTGGTATTTTGAATGGTATTAATGCCATTCAAAAATACAGATTTCTTCCCAATGAGGATCAGAGCCATGTTCAGACCAGTAAGCTGACTGACATGTTTGAAAGTTAATACAAAGCTCTGTATCTCAGGCAGTACACTTTTTAAAAAAATGTTGACCAAGAAGCCACTCAGCAACAAGCAAGAGATTACCCACTGCTACTCTGAGAGTCAAGAACAGTACTGGAGATATTTTCTCACTAATATGTGGATCAAACGTGTTACCAAAATAAAAGTAATCTGTATTAAATATACATTTTTATTTTTCTTCTAAGATCAAAATCTGTAATAAAAATTTTGTCCCAAAATTTTTATGAAGTGAAAATGTACCGCTAAATATGCTAGCTTTGCATCATCGCATTTAATCCAGAATTATTTTAAATCCATCTAGTAAGGATACATGGACTGTTCTCAGATTTGTTTGAGGATACTTTAAATATATTACGTTCAGGTATGTTATATAATGCCAATTATTTCACTAAGCTAAAGTTTCAGTCAAATGTTAAATTATTACTAGACAGGTAGTCTTCATCTTACATCTGAAGTTACGGCAGACCTCCCCAGATTCTACTTATAACAAGGTTTCAAAGTTGCAACACAATTGCATATTGGCTGTTTGGCAACTGGCCCACATTCATGGCCATTGGCCAGGGTCCTGCAGTCACATGACCACAATTTCTGATTTTTGCCAGAAACTAACATTTACTTCCAGTTTCCAAGGGGAAAAAAGCCCATTGGGTACAATGGATTCACTTAACAGCCGCAGCATCTGCTTAATGGCCACGGCATTTACTTAACAACAACGAAAAAGGTTGTAAAATTGGGTGCAGTCACACGATAGGTTCCTTAATGACTGGCATGATTTACAACCATAATTCTGGCTCAATCATGGTTTGTAAGTTGAGGACTACCAGTAAGTAAACAAACCAGTAAAAGCCAGTGAATAATGTAATATAGTTTAGCGCTTAGTATTTAGTAGTTAGTTCTAGATGTGCCAAATATGGTCTGAATTGTATCTGAACACACACAACTCAGAGTATTGATATAATACATGTCATTGACCAATCCTGTTTGGACGTTGCTATGCATAATGTACATGTTACACATTACTTTTATAAAATACTTTCAACTTACTCGTTGATCACCACCTTCCCTCCGAGGATCAAGCTTCTTTGCAAAATGCCTCAGGTTATCATAATTATGAAAGTTGCACAAAGAAACCAGTTCCTGCAATAATAAAAACATCACTGTGTTATATTTATATTCATGTCCACTATCAAGAGCCGTGGTGGTGCAGTGGTTAGAATGCAGTACTGCAGGCTACTTCTGCTGACTGCCAGCTGCCTGCAATTTGTCAATTCAATTCTCACTGGCTCAAGATTGACTCAGTCTTCCAAGCTCAGTAAAATGAGGACCCAGATTGTTGGGGCACTATTCTGACTCTGTAAACTGCTTAGAGAGGACTGTAAAGCACTGGGAAGTGGTATATAAGTCTAAATGCTATTCTGCTATTGCTATCATAATTTACAACTGTTTCATTCAGCTACACTCTGATATTACTGATTACACGTAACTCTAAGTAAAGTCCTTTGTCAAGATGACTACTAAGTATCTTATAAATATAGGGGGACCAAAAAGAAAAATAAAATGGCAAATCAGGATTGAAAAGAAATGCATGCATTTTATCAACATTTCTTCCACTTTCAAAATGCACCTACTTTTTATCTTTGCTTAGTGTGTAGCTTGTTGGGATGTGTAATTATCCATCCTTTTGCTTTAAAAATCTTCCATCTTTATCTGCTTTGATTCTAACAATGAACACATAAGCATTTCTGCTCAAGAAAAATGCAAACCTCCCTACCTTCACTGAGATAGGTGTAAATGTTAATGATCATTATACTTGTAGCTACAGACTAGTAACAATTCGAGTAAGGAGGCTTGCTCACATGACAAAAGTGAATCCCCTTAACGCTGTTGCCCATCTTGTCTAGCGGAGGTGACCAGCACATCATGCCCATAACGTTAGGAACAACCAAAAGAATGCCACCAGCAACTCCAGATTTTGCAGGAAGACCCACCTAAATGAACACACAATTAAAACCGTTAGTATATACTTATTAATACTTAGTTGGCATTCACTGAATATTCATATTATCTGTCAAGGTAACAATAGATTTTCAAAATGTATCAATTAGCGTACATTTACATCCCAGGGATTATTTAGGTGATATCTCAAAATACTTTTGTTTTTCTGGATTCATTTCTGTCATTTGAGTTCTAACTAGCCTATATGACAGGAAATGCCTTTTACAGCCCATGGTAAATTTGCTAATTGCTGTTAGCACTGGTTTTAATAAGAAGTTCTTTCTTTCTTTTTTTAAAAAAGAACAACTAAACATTTTTTATAACAGATCTCTCTAAACAAACACTTACATGGAAGGCAAACTGTCCCGAGAAGTCATACATGCCACATGAATGCATCAAACTTAGAGTGTTCCGAACTGCTTCAGGACTTAGGACTCTCTCACCAGTGATGGGGCAAAAGCCGCCATTGGCAAGGGTGGCTGCCATGACACTAGCAGATTCACAAGTCACTTCTATGGAGCACAGCTTAGGAAAAATGAAGAGAACAAGGAAACATTGATCAACCTATGCAAATAGAAGGCTATGTAATTAAATGGATGAAAGGACTACCTTACAAAAGGGAGCCTGAACCCATAAAGAGCCTATTACCCTATGAACAATACAGCATGTGAAGATAGACTGTTTCCAGATTAGGGAATTAAGGCCTATTTCAGTGAGCTTGAAGTGGGCATCTGATGATAGCAACGTTTTTTCATAATAGTGATTATCATGGTACAAGATTAACTCATAAAACAGCTGCGTAAAATTTTTTTTAAAAAAAACGTCTTCTAATCAGTACAAGCTAATCAGTGAAGCTTGTATTGATAAAAGACTGATATTTTTAAAAGAAACATTAAAAAAACCTATGTATTCTTGTTTCTGCAGAGATGAATAGTACAAACAATAATGTGACAGAACCAGGACAATTTATATTATTTACTATGTGTAAAATTCAAAGCTACCATGTTTAACTTAATGAGTAGGGGGAAAAAATCTCATATTTTAATCAGAAACAACATTAATGATAAGAAAGTATGTTTTAGTTAACCTAACCAGTGTAAAAGTACTAAGGATATGATTAACAATTTCTTCTCTGAATAGTACTACAAAACTGGCTGCAAAACATATTACATTCTCACTACAAAAATATATAATTCTTAGGTCAGGGATTGCAATCAACTCTTAATTTGCATTAAGATCAGAGAATAAGAAATTCTGATTTATTAAAACATATTCAATTGGAAAATCATTTAGTTAACATACTTGGCCCAAACAAAAGACTGGATCCTCTGCTGTGAAAATATTTATTTAAATAAAATTTTAACCTATATATTCTTCTCCAAGGATAACAAATATTCTAGAGATTAATTAGCTACCTGGAAATAGAAGTCCAATATGCCAACCATATCCGTTCCCTCTGGAAAACACTTCAAAATAATAGAATATTTTAGTACCTCATGATACAGCAATAAAGGTTATCATATGTATACTAAAACTGATAAAGAAGATAACTACTGTTAATATAATGAGTAATGTTACAAGGATTTCAGTAATTATCTCTGTGAACCTAATGGGAATATCCATCTTTTGTTTCATGCATGCATATTAAAAAGAATCACCCACAGATTTTTCTTTGTAGATATATGACAAGTTGCTTGCTTGTAATTGTGATTTTTTTAAAGAGGTAATCTATTTACTGTATTTTTCAGAGTATAAGACACACCTTTTCCCTCAAAAGAGACTGAAAATCTGGGTGCGTCTTATACACTGAATACAGCATTTTTTGCCTTCCAAAATCCCGCCCCCTTCACCAAAATGGCCGTGCATAGCCTCTAGGAAGATTTCAGAGAGCTCCTGGGAGCTGGGGAGGGCAGAAATGGGTGAAAAACAGCCTGGGGTTTTTTTTGCTCAATTTTAATCCCTCCCAGCCCCCAGAAGCACTCTATAAGCTTCCTAAAGGCTATCCATGCCCTCCCTTTTTTTCTTTTACAAAAAAACAGGCCAGTTTTCATGAAAAATTGGATGTTTTTGCTCCTTTTCGCTCCCCAGAGCACTCTACAAGCCTCCTAAAGGGTATTCATGCCCTTTTTTTTGGAAAAAAACAGGCCCATTTTCACAAAAAAACGGGCCGTTTTGGGAGGGTTTGCAGAGTGCAAAAACTTTTTTTTTTAATTTGCCTCTTCAAAACCTTGGTGCGTCTTATACTCTGGTGCGTCTTATACCCCCAAAAATGCGGTAGTTGTTTACCTAGATTTGCATTTGACTCAGGTTATGATTCCTGCCCTTTTCCTCATAGTCACCAAAACCAGGAAAGTTGGGTAGATTTGCCAGAGAATGCTGATACTTCTGAGATAGAATAGTGACTCAGGCTAAACTTTGGATACAAGATCTCTCTTGAAGGAATATCCAAAACAAGAGATATTTGCTGAAGCAAAAAGGCACAATTTATGCCATCTGAAAAGGAAAGCTTACTCCCGCAGCACCAGCATTTATAAAGACGTTGCTAAATATCATAATGCTGAACATAGAGAACCTGCAACCAGGTGCAAAAACAACTCTATGCAGAAAGACTGGGAAAACACATTGTTTGAAAACAAACCGAAGGCTTCAGTGCACGCCTTGCTAAGTAACGTGATATGCAAGAAGTGATATACACTTAAAATGAGGCTTTGTACAGGTCCCATCAATCAATTTGTGTAAATCACAGAGACCAAAATGGAAGGATTACACTATCGCTGCATTTTTATTATATCAATATTGTATTTACCTTAACTGTCATTATGAAGAAATAAAATGTTATTTGTAGTTTGTTCAATTGACATTACATACATTTAAGGGAGGGGAGTAAATATAACTGAAAAGCATACCTTTTTCTCTTTCAGATAATAGCCTATTGCAAAGTTTCTGTCTCCACTCTCTCTTTCAGACTGGAATCTAAGGGAGAAAAGGAACAGAAATGGACATCAAAACACTAAATTCATTCATTTCATTTCATTCATTTCCTTTATTTGTATGCCGCCCTTTTCCCTGGGGGGACTCAGGGCGGCTCACAATTCAAAAAGGGAGGGGGGGAAAGACAAACAGTATTCCAATATGGAAACAATACAACATATTAAAAGAGAGCACAACAGTCACACAATTCGGGTGGGGTTGGAATCTTAACCCCAGGCCAGCCGGGACCACCAGATCTTCAAAGCGGCGCGGAAGGATTGGAGGGTGGTGAGGGTCCGAATCTCCACGGGGACTTACTAACAATGCACTTGGTAGGATATATTTTTTTAATTGTTGTTAACTCTAGCAGCGTGTGCAGTTTGGGAAGGCACAAACTATTTGTGTGGAAATTACCTTAAAAAGAACAAATTACTGCTGTAGCATATTATAAGCCTCAATGCAAAAGACATTGCATTCACTATTCAGTATTAAACTACATAATTTTTGTAAATAAAGTTACAACTCAGTAATGGAACTAAAATATTGATAATATATCTGTTATAACTACTTGAGAATACAATAGAAATTATTTAGATGTTAAGAGAAACATAGGAATGCAATATAAGTCAGAAAGTTATCCATCATCACTCCAATAGACAGAAATTACACAGCAAATTCATACTGCTGTGTTATAAGCTGAACTGTTACAGAAAAGCACGCCTTGTGCTGCTTCTGGAAAAACCTTTTGAGGGGAAGAAAGAACTTACTTTCTCTCTACAGAGAGCTGCGGTTGTTTATAGGGGGCAACAATGGTGAGGCAAAATTGATGTCTTCACCAAACTTGTAGAAGAGAAATAACCTCTCTTTCTCCTATACCCTCAACTCTTAGTGGAGGAAAGGAAGGAGATTTTTTTTCTTCCCCCTTCCCTTGGTTTTTGGAACAGACAGTGCCATAAGGTGAAGTACTTCTACAGAAATCCAGCATAAAGGAAAATATTTCTCCTATACCCAAAGTCCTAGTTGAAGGGAAAGCAGAGGAGTAAGGAGGAAAGTAGAGAAGGGAGAGAGAGAGAAAAGAAAGGGAAAATAAAGTGGTGTTGCAACGGGAAGGGATGGTAAACAAAGAAACCCAAACTGTATATGTATATTATAACCTATTAAATGAAATAATAAATGTATGAGAATGATAAATGTAAAGAAGAAGAATTATGTGAATGTATATTTAAAATGGTATGTAAGAGAATAAAAAAATAAAACTTTTCTGAGAGAAAAAAAGAAATCCAGCATAAAGGAAAATATTTTTCCTATACCCAAAGTCCTAGCTGAAGCAAAGATCTGACTAATAAAATAAAATGTTATGTACAACATTAATATTAACTATTGCTCATAGTATCAAAATTAATATAGGAAACATACTTACGTGGCATTACTGAAACCGACATATTCATTTCCAGCCATTTTATTCATGAACTGCATCACCTAAAGAAAGCATGATTCTTTTTTCAAAATGTATCAAACAGCACTTTATAGTAAGTATTCAGTGCAAATAACCAAGTTAGATTTAGATATTAAGCAATGCTGTCATTTTATAAGAACAAATGTATTCCACAAGAAAGAAGGAAGAGATTTTCTGCTTTAATATAAATTACTATTTACTGCAATGTCTAAAATAAACTTATGGTTAGTTTAAATTAAAAATTAATATTTATTTATCTTAACTTCAGTTAAAATGCTACATACATTTTCTGAGTTGAGACATTAGTCTAGTTGAAATTCAATGACATTCTGCGGTTAGTTTAAAACTGAAGAGCAAATGCTTCTAAATTTCACAGAAGAGAAAAAAAAACACCTATAAAAATGAGTGAGGCTTGCCTCCAGTGATGCTACACTATAGTTTATAAATATTTTGTAAAATTACAGAAAATAAATTGTAACTATTAAAAGGTTTGCTTACATAGTCAAACTTCTCAGCATTATTTACTCCTTGCTGAAAGGAAAGAAGACACATTTACAAAGTGTATTAATACAAGGGAACTTTAATTATAGATTAATTTTTTTCATTGTTACTTAAATGCTATTATGTATTATTAGCCTAGTGTTTTATTTGTTAGTCTATATGCCTAGAGTTAGATTACTGAATTGTTATACAAAGCATTACAATACTTTAACATTGCTTGTTAAAAACATTACCAATGTACAACAGTAGAGCTGAACCTAATTTTATTTGAAATGTAATCAGTAAATCCATTAATTTTCCATGATTATTTTTTTTTGCTGAATTACAAGCTATTGTAATTAATACTGTTAATACTGCTTTGTGGAGGTAGCTTTTAAATGCTAGGTAGAACAATTTTAAATGCTAGGTAGAACTAATAAAAAGACAACTGCATTAAAATAAAGTTTGGGTATGACTAAATGTGCTGATAGAAGCAGCTGTATGTGCATGCTTCTCACTTTAAAAAAAAACCCTCCTATTAGTATCTTTATATTTCAGCCATCAATGTTAACAAACTGGGATAACAAACATGCTCATTTTTTTAGTTATCAAAACTCAACACTTAAAGAGTAGAAAGAATATCACAAAATAATGAATATTTACTGACTCCCAGTTTGGTAGCACAGAGCCTGGTAGACTGCGAAACATAATGCTGCTCTTAAATTCAAAGGATTGTATTAAGAAAACATAACAAACTTATATTGCTATAATAAACGTGTAAAGTTTAAAACTGCGTGCACATAGGCATGCTCGTGTATTAATGAACCTTGACTGAAGCAAAGAGTCTGCATATAAAATATGCAGGGAGGGAGCAAGCCTTTAACACAAAGTGGGAAAGGGCTTAAATGAGGTCGGAGGATCAAAATCTTGTTATATTTGTACCTGGAAAAGGATACTTCTTCAAGTAAAAAATATACCCTAAAAAGCATGTGTAATTTCCATCCCCCTATATTTGGTATTTTAATTTCAGAAACGTTTAGGTTTCCAGATCCATTTTTTTTTTAAAGTAATATGAAATCATAGCTAAAAGGTTCTATAGAGATGAGACTAAACAGGGCAGATGTGGTTTTTTTTTTAATGAGATTAAGGTGACACTGCAAACAAACTTTATTATTGTATCAATATTCTGGCAGTTTTGTCTGTATCCCTAATGTTTAAGCTGCTAGATATTTAAACATTTACTGGAATTACCATTTTTTAAAGCAGACAAATTCAAGTTTAAAGGCCCCATCTAAACAATCCATGAAACATTACTTTCACAATGTTAGTTTAAGGGGGTGGGGGAACCTTGAAGCCTGTATGTACCAGCATTCTACTCAATGAAATGTATAAAGCCAGCCTCATTTCCCATTCTAGTGGATTAGGACCTTGCAGACAATCCGTGAAGCCACAAGCACCAGCTCATCTAGTGATGTACAGTCATTCACGTATGATCACCAGCTGAAAGAATACCATACTATTGTGTCAACATCAATCAAATTAAAATGCTGCTACCTATAGAGTCAAAGGCTATTTCATATGCTAAAAGATTATGCAATGTGTTGAAAAGCATTAGAAAAACAAATTTTTTTTAAAAAAAGTGTAACTCCAAATCTGTTCAATGAAAAATAATTAAAAGAAGAAATTACCAACTTCATTGAACTGTTGCAGTTGTCAAAATATTCCATAGATCCTAATGCTGTAAAATATGTAACAACATTTAAACCACAAAAACCTTTTAAATGCACAGTGAATGTTGCTTGGGAAAGTTGGGAGGGGGTCGGCATTAGTTATGGGATGCTATACTGATCATTGTTGCATGGTTAAAACAATTAAACTGAAACAAGTTTTGCATTTCTCCCCTACATCTGACAAAAGGAGAAAGATGCTTAATGCAAGACAATAGTAACATCTCATTCTCTCCCCACCCCTAAAAAAACAACCCCAGAATAATAAAATTTTTGACACCATTAGCAGAATCTATAAACCAAGCAAGAGTCTGAGCATATAAGCAAAGCAAACTTATTTCAGCATTTATCATATTCAGAATTTTCTTGGCTTTAAGCTCCAGAGTATTTTGATACCCAAGAAAACAATATTTTTTACAATTCCATTAATACAAGTATAAATAAGCATATTTAAACATTTAAATACTGGATTTTTCCAATAACATCTAAAGTCCATGTTCCCAACAATGTCATTTCATTTGGTCATGACACATTTTTCTTTAAGAAAACATAAAAGTAAAGTCAGCATTAAAACAAGATACTAAATACTGCAATGGTTATTTTCCCACATCCTCGCTTTAACAATATAGAAAATATGTCTTCAGTTTAAAGATGGAAAGAACAAAAGCAACTTTTATTTTGGAAAGGCTACTTTTCCAATCTGTGGAGACTTGCTTATAAACTTACAAGCAATTATTTTCTCTACAAACGTTCCATGCAATATTTAACTTCACAAACATAATATATACATATACACACTTACAATATAGTGTGCATGCTTGCATGTATATTTATGTGTATATGCACACTATTGTGTATATACAAAATAAAAGCCTTATAATACAGACTATTGTAAGACTGTAACCATCCAATGACACATCATGCATGCATATTTTATGTAATTATACTCATATTAATATTAAATAAGGAGTAGGGATCATATTTTATGTATACCAAAGTCTACCAGCATGCAATCGGAACTTAAAAATTATAAAATAATTGTATATGTTTCAATTTTAAGATAGTATAGAGACATACCAAATATCAAATTATGTTAAAATTTGTGCTTAGAACTGCTGATTTAAGCAGTTCATATGATTTATTTGTGTGGATTTTCTAAATTGTCAACTTATTTCTGAAGAGTTATTCAACGAATTAGTTTTATTATAGTAAAATAGTGTATATCCTATCCTATCAGTATTTTAAATACAACTCTAATAAAAAGTCATATTGGAATTATATGGTAGTATTTCAGTATCAGAAGATTGTCACAAAGACAGTATATGTATTGGGAGTTTTCCACAAAAATGACACCAACATTTTATCATGTACTATATAAGGTGACCTATGTTCAGGATTTGGCTGGAACATTTAAAGCATAGAAATAAGCCTCAAATCCAATTAGAAAATGGTTTTGTAGCTATGGGCTACATTTCAGTAACACAGGACTACACTGTCTCATTTTTGTACTGTATTTCACCTTTAATACTGTTACCACTTTTTGTACATGCATTTAAAATTTGTGTGTCTAAATTTAGGTTGAGTATTACTTCAGCTATGGATCTATTTCCTGTTATTTCTAAATTATTATTTATGACTTGTTATATTAGAACCATGATGATTTGTTCAATGGAGCACTGCTTTAAAACCTTGTATCCTATTATATAATTTCTATCATTCCATTTGATTCAATTCTATACAGATGTGCTTACATCTATATAAAAAATAAAGGGCTGGACTGTAGAGTAAAGTAACAATACCTTTATTGGTTTATATATAACAATACCTTTATTGGTAATATATTTTAAAGGGATTTACTATATCAAATATTATTATTAACATAATTTTGAGACAAAAATTCTAAAAATGGCAAACCAGCTTCCTTATTATCACAAGAAAGCTAAATAGACAAGAAAGCTAAATAGGTATATGGAGTCATCATATTTTATGAATTTAGTGAAAGTGCTGAAATTTTATTCTCTAATAGCATCATATATCCCATGATTTTTATATACTATGTCATATCATATTTGAATACCATGGCAGAACACTGCAAGAAATTGTTTTTCTGCCACCATATTTCAGATACTTTGATTTAGTCATCAAGTTCTTCCACAATCTAACTTAGAAAGTGTTAAGTTTAACAACAGTGGTTTACATCCAACTGCTGGTTTTAAATACAGCATTTATGTTTAAAGCTAGTCAATATTTCACATTCATTTAAGCTGTATATATCTAGATATAACACAGTGAATTCACCGAGAGCACAAGTTGATTAGGGCATATACACGCAGTGTATAGCTTGGGATTCCACATATGAATTAAGAAGTGAACATCTTAAAATAATATTTTTTCAAACTCTGTTCCATAGTACTGTATGGTTCCATGAAAACTTGATGGATTCTTTGAGAGACTAAGGGCACGAGCACAGTTAATCTTCTATCAATAGAGCTTTGCCTCTTGATCAGAGGTTCTGGATTATTTTTTTTAAAAAACAGCATGATTTTCTAAGATTTTGTCCATGTAGCAAAGGGTTAAACTATAATATATTACCTGATTTTTCCTGGCACATAGCCCATATTCATAACCCCACATTTAAGTGTATTTGCTGCTTAAATGGTCATTCCACAATTTTATTAAAAATTCTCCTTTTGGATACCCCTGTTACCCTAAATGTAGCTAAATTTTGCTACCTCATATGCAAAATATGCAGATGACCAATTGATAAGCTCAGTTGATTTTGCAACTTGTTCTTTTTTATATGCAATCTGCTTTTTTTAACTATTGGATTTTATTTTATACTAATCTTTGATCACAAGAAAGATATTTTACAGGTTCCACAGACTGAAAAAAACTTAAACGCCCTGTTCAAAAATATAGGAAATTATATTCTGAGATGGTAGCAATGGGCATAACTATATGGCCATACCATAATTATATGCCAAGAAGCCAAAACTAAAAATATTAAATATTCTCAACTTTATTTATTTAGTAAGAGATAAAGAAAAAAACCCAATGATATGCCAAATATATCAGTACTCATTGTCATCTTTAAAGTCATTGATGGCTTGGGACCACATTATTCATGGGGCTATTTTTTCCCATTGTTTTTCAGCAGAATGGGCATATTCTGGTTACCATCGGTCAGCAAATGACAATTAGAGGGACCAGAAGATGAATCTTTTTTGCCATAGCACTTGCACTATGGAACAATCTCCCTTGCCATTATTGCATAGTGATCCAGATATTTAGACTGGCTATGGCATTTTTGCCTGCCTATTAAGGGATAGAGAAATGTTGTTTAATAATAATATTAAATGTATCATTGTAGGATGTATGTTATTCCAATTGACTGGTGGTGATTTTGTCAATGCCAACGGTATTATTATGATTGGTTGTTGCATAGTCAGCCAGATGATTAGATTGGATTTGGCATATTAATTTACCCCACCTTCTTATTTTATAACCTCAATATAGCTGCATCCATACATTAGACTAGATCTTACATTTCAGAGCTGGTTAATTTTTTATTTGCCATTGGCCGTGAGGAAGGGAGCAGCACAATTCTCGCTTATACTACAGCACATAGAAAAAGAGGCACTTTGTAGCTGCCTCAGCTACAATTCTAAACAGAAGCAATGCTTATTGGCGCCAATGGGACCTCCTCCACATGCCAATTGCAATTGGTATTTTGGGTCCAACTGCATTGGAAAAAGAAGGTTTCTGCTGTAGCCTTAATAAGAAGTTTAGTACCGCTATCCCAGTGATATCATTCCCCAGTTATATTATTCACCAAAAGACTGCCAGCCAGCTAGTTGGCAAGCTGCCAGAAAGAAATCTTAAACTCCATAATAGTAGCAAGAAACATGTAAGGGAGAAGATGTGTCTCTGCACGTAAACCCCTCTTTAACAGACAAGAAAAATGTTATAGAACAGTAGGGGTAACCTATGGCTCTCCAACTCCTATTAGCCTTGGTCGCTATGGAAGTTGATGAAAGCATAATCCAAAAATGAGAACCGTGCTCCAGAAAATAACTTATTCTTATTTTTATCTTTAGCAACACTATGGAATACAAATAAAAGAGCTATAGATAGGTGGGTATAATTTAGCTATTCACGTTTTAAGTCTTTGTATAACTATTTGAATTGCAATTCAAAATGAGTGGGATTAAACAGGCTTTGTTTTGCTATTTTAAAGTATCAGTTCATTGAAAAGGCTACCATTGAAGTAAAAAAATATGTTGCACTAATATGGTAAGAATTATTATCAAATATTTGTGCACACCTAAGAATTTCATCTGCACTTGTGACATGCACTTGCAAATCTGTCAATTAAGGGGATGTTCCAACTTTCGAGTAATAAGAACAGAACAAAATATGAAAAGCTGAAGATATAAATAATAGCAGAAGTTCCTGCTAAAAACATTAATACCTTTGGAGATTAGCCTAAAATTTATCCCCTGCTTGCAGAGGATGGGGGGAGGTCTTTGCTTTCTGGCACAGGTTCACCTCACCTAAATTTTGTTCGCATATATAAGCACAATTTCAGTGTGAGAGAGGTTCTATATGCAGATGGCAATAAGTGAATTTTATACATACCCATTTTTTAAAACAAATAATTAACTTTAATTAGAAGGGTTTTGTTTTGTTCTGTCCTGGATCTAGACCTTTGTTTGGAATAAGGCTTTAGGGAGGGAGGGTCACATTAAAATGGACCTTAGGTTGATATAACGAGAAAACAGGATATTGCACAGAATTTATGTACGTGTGTGTATGTATACACATACACGGAGTCTACTTTTTCTTTTGGGAAGGATTGTTATAAATTCAGGATTGCCTTTCTTCCAGGTAAATTACTGAATTTCTACGATTTAATCTTCAATTGAAGATGCAAAATGCACATAAATGTTTATTTGACCAGTGCATGAACACGACAGAAATGCTTTCAGCTAATTAATTAAAAAGAGAAGATTTACAAAGGTGTTTCCTATGAAAATGGACAACTAGGTTCTATAACTTTGTGAGGCTGTTAAAATGTCGCACACATTACAGCACTTCAAAATATATTTAATTTATGAGAGTAAGATTTAAATCAACTTAAAGGAAAGATTAGAAACTTTAATTTTAATTTAATTTCTTGGAAATTTACTCTACTTTTATAAAATAGCTTCCCAGAAGATATAACACATAAATGTCTTACAATCACTATAAACAAATAATGATGCAATATGGTGGTTTATGTCTGCTAGACATGCAGATACTACATGCAAAGTTTTAATGCAATCAATACTGACTTGTAACATTGTTGCTGTCTTTTTATATTATGACTGCATGCAGTAAAAAGGAAAACTGCAATATACTGTATTGGCCTGAAACCTAAAGTGAGTTTTTGGCTGTCAATAAAATATGCATTTGATTGGCAATTCATTAATTTTAATAAAATGAATTTCCAAATATGTGTGCACTTCTTGGGTTACTGTATAAAAGGCTATTGTGAGAACAAGAAATGCACTGAGCTGTCTGATGAACTATCTACCACTTATTTTAAAATCTTATTGCCAAACTGAATTTTAAGTTATTTAAACCCCCAGAAAAAAAATAAGCATGAATAAATTTACCTGTCGAATTTAAGGCCATTTTCCTTCACCCACAGCTATTAAAGATAAATGTTTAAAGCAGGAATTTTTTTTACACAGAAGCAGAAAATCATGAGCCAAAAATAAAATAGCCTTTCATAATTAACTATAAGGATATGATATAATCAAATATTTAAAATCTCAATTGTGATTTCTCTACTACAAAACTAAGGAGAAGGGACAATATTCTTTAAAACTCTTTCTGAGATATCTTAGTGATATATAAATATATACACCGGTAAATATATACTTTTAAAGATTAACAATAACCTGCAATTCAAAGTATGTATTCTTTAATTGGAAATCTGTCTAAAAGCTCTACACTGTTCATTATTAAGCCAAACATTTTAAATATATATTTTTCTAAGTAAAAAAGTATTACTTCCAAAAGTAACAATATTTAATATTAAAGAAGTGCCAAGGGATTTAACTTTATATCTGGTGAATGTATAAATTGAAATATAAAATGAATTATTTAATGAAAAAATAGTTCTCTCAATAGAAGCATAACTCTAACTCATTCTTAAATAAATTTACCAAAACATGAAACTATGTATTAAAACTGCTAAAAGATTTAATTTATAACTTTATCAGTGAGTGGTATTCTTTATTTTAAAAAAACCTCTCAAGTTTGTCTAATACAATACTTTCACATCAAAATATTTCATTCCACAATCTAAAAAGGTATATTTATATTAATTTTTTCAAAGAAAGAAACGTTTATCAAACCCCGTTTCAAAAGCAGCTTGGGATTTTATTAAAATGTCTCAAACTGTAAAGAAAAAGGGAAAGAGGTGGGGAAAGAGAAATAGAAACATACCAGCAACATTCCCCCTTAAACATTATCTTGCTCCGTATCCCAAAACTCCTTTTTGAATTTGGGGAGCAACAGGCAGCTGAAAAACAAGCACTGAAAACAATTTCAGAGGCACACATGTGATTATGACTACATGCTTCTATGGGCTGCAAGAAGCAATATAGGAAAAAAATCCCATGTCTATATGTAATCTAATTCTGTTTATAATTTCTTACAAACTATTTACAGTACAGCCAGAAATAATTCACTGTACATATTTTACCTTGATCAAAGAGGTGATCACAATTGCTCCAGCATTCACCATAGGATTATGAGGTTTGTCTGCAAAATAATAAAAAAGGATCTAATCACAAAAATGTATCTTTCCAATAAATTAAATGAACAAAGCTTCAGCACAAATTAGTCATACTATTCATAGCTATCTTTCTCACAGAAAGATACGTATTCTATCTAATTAAGATGATGAATCCTGATGTTTTCTTTCTTTGCTTAATACTAACCTGATTTCCAATATCACATTAATTTCTGCCCATTATTTACATCCTCCTCCAGTTTTATTCTAACATTTATATTACTGTATATCCAATCCCAAAATGAAATAGCAACTATGATTGTTCATAACTATTACTTGGACAACTTCAATCCAATTAAGGATTTGATAAATATTTCAAATTCATACATTTTTATGCTTTTAATTTTGTCATTTGGTTAAAATAAGGGAGATTGTTATCAAACTCAGGTCATGGTAATGGCAATTTAAATCAGGGATTCCCCAACCCCGGTCTATAAACCGGCAACGGTCTACAGCATGCCAGAATCCAGATCATGTAAACAAATGAAGCCCCATCTGCGGGATGCAGTAGTGCATGAAACCACACACCCTCCATTCAGTAGAAAAAACCCTCTCCCCAGAACCAGTCCCTGGTGCCCAAAAGGTTTGGGGTCACTAACCTAAATCATCTCCGCATATTATCCCATATTTTACTAAGTTTTTTTTAACTGAAATCACAAACGTGAAGGGAAACAGTTAATCCACTTCCCAGATGTACATTTTCTTGCAGACAATTTAATAATGCTTCACCTTTAGACAATTAAATATCTGCATTTTTTTTCTCCATTACATTAGGCATTTGCACGTTGTTATGCAAACACATACGTTCAGGATTCTATAGGCTCATTTAAAAGATGAAATCAGAGAGTTTGGCAATTTTGACCATCAAATTTCTACTAACATTAATCATCTGAAATCAACAATGAAAATTTGCTATTTAAAAACTCAATAGATTTTCTGGTTTATCTTTTACACAAATTTAGCCCAAATAAGATGGAAAGGTTGTTGAGTCAGAGGCCACCTGTACTATCTCTGGCTTTTGTAGAAGCTGTGCTCCCTCAGAAAGAGCAGATGGTGGTCATGGCTAGGAGGGCTTTTGCATACCTTTGGCTAGTGTGCCAACTATAGCCTTTCATGGTACAAGATACCCTTGCTAACTTTTGATTAGATTACTACAATTTGCTGTTCATGAGTCTATCCTTGACAATCACCTGGCAATTGCAGCTCATCCAGAATGCATTGGCATGAGTGCTCACTGGTTAGTCACAGAACTGCCCCGTCAGAACTCTGCTGCAGGAACTGCATTGGTGATTTGTAGATTTCCAAATGTAATCCAAAGTGCTGTCACTATTTATATGTGGCTTAGAGTATCTTGAGGATCAATAGTTCTATGAATTGTTTCTGCCTGTACCTCCCCGGCCAACTAGGGAGTGTCTGCTAAGGCCAGTTAAGGTATAATGTGAAAGGGCTTTATTGTACCAATTAGACATGATTCTGTATGTAAAAAAAGAGCTCCTATTGACCTAGACACAATATCAAGTACAAAAGTTACTGTCTTCTAGTTTGCCTATAAAAAGGCTGGTAATCAGTGGTTAAGAGAACATGTACAAAATGGGTTCAAGGATCTTTGAAAAAAAATCAAAGGTTTCAAAAATATTTAAAAGGGTTTCAAATGCAGGGATACTGAATTTCAGCTACTTTCAAGATTGCATTCTTGGTCAGTATTTTGAAAACAAAGATGACATTTTGATATAGAAATACCAATATACTTTATTTAGCATTAGTCAATAAAAGCATATGCACGCTAGTCTGAATGAAATTATGAGCTAGCATGTGGTAGTAATTTTTAGACATAACATTTGAGGCATGTCTTTTGGAACAGACTGCAAACCTTTGCACACATGGAATCTTGCCAAGGGTGCCACTGTATCCTAGCTTTCAAAAGCTTAGTTAGTTATATGAAGCTAATGGTTTGGAACTCAAGGCTTGGAACAGTTGTTTATATTCAACAGCTAATGACACCCTTAGAGTAGGTATGGGCTAAAGGAAAAGAAAAAAAATATAGAACTAGTGAATATCTGCCAAGAGTATATAATGTTACAAAAAAAAAGAAGTATCAGATTCATTTTACAATTCTGAGGATATCTCTGGAAGCTAATTCATGAATATTTCCTATCTTTCATTAAATCTATACATGCCATACTTCGAGTATAGGAAAAATCTTTCACACACAAAAAGAAAGATATCCTGAAAGGAAGAAAATATTTCTAATGCCACTCATCCATTAAATATCCAAAAACATTTCTTAAGCCTTTACAGTATTTATAGAGAATAAATAAAATTGACGTAAAATGCAGGTAGCAGGTCATTGAATTAATTTTATTATTAGATCGAATACCTAATATAAGTCATTTTAATGTTCTGAATCAGCAGTATTTCCTGTGAAATACAACGAAATCAACTGCATGGTGGAACACTGCATAATCTTCCAAGCAGTCTCTTAATTTTATCCTATTAAAATAATTGGAAATATGCACACTTTTCCACCATACATTCAATATACTGTTCAGAATTATTCTGAACAGAATCAAATGAGATCACAAATTAACTTTATGAAATAATTGCAGAACAGCAGAACCAGTTTCCAAACAACTGCAAAAACATTTGCAATTCTTTGATTTGGTACTGTTATCTGCAGTGGATGAATTAGTGGGGGGAAATGTCGACAATATGAAAATTCAAAAGAAATGTGATTTTCTTCATAAAGGAAAATATGTATCTTGCACTGAACATATAGGTCAGCACCATACACAATACCAGTGGTGGGTTCCGGATCCCATTGCAACCGGTACGGTACAACGGGACCTGGCGTCCACCACATGAATGCACACACATGCGCGCAGTGCGCACATGCATCTCTACCTCCTGCTATGCTCCAGCTGCTTGGCGGAGCTTCGTGCAGGTGCAGTACGCTCCGTGCACGTAAGCGCCAAAGAGCTCAAATACCGGTAAGGAGCATGGGTGGGCGGATGGGCCCTCCGGAGCACTGTACCGGAACGGTAGCCAGTGCTCCCGGCAGGCACCAGTAAGCCCGTACCGGGGTGTACTGGTCGTAACCCACCACTGCATAATACCCATTGATTTTAGAACAGCAACAACATGATATGCTATGTGACAATGCATTCTCAAATGCTAGTTCTTATTACCAAAATGTATGTTTGTGTTTCATTTGGAATGATTTAAGTCTGCCCCCTCACATGTTATAAACAAAATAACCTAGCACTCCTGACCATTTGCCATTCTGCCCTGGTCTGCTAAAGGCATTTTAGGAACATATAACCAGCCACAGACTCCCCATCCATCTTTTGAAATAGTATGTTGTCATAACTGTCATAATCTGAATGAGAACTGAAATAGGCCATTTAGGCCACCAAGTCCAAACCCTTGATCTGTGTCAGAATCTATATTAAACATCTCTGACAGAAATCCATTTAGCTTCTAGCTGAAAACATCCAGCAAAGGACTTATTTTTAGACCCACAATTATCCTTTATGATCCTTCCTGAACCTGTTGCAATTTGATGAATTCTTCTTAAGGTGTAGAGAGCCAATTTGGATAAGATACCAGACTAGAAACGTAGAGACTTTGAAGATTAATCCCTCCTTAGGCAAAGTCAATCAGGTGATCTTTGGCCAATCAATCTCTTTCAGCCCTAGTTAGCAGGCAACAGCAACCACTTCTCAAATCTCACCAAGAAAACTGCAGAGACTTGTCCTGGTAATGACTAAGAGACAACACTGACTTGTAAGGCACAAAATAATAGTTTAACGTGTGATGTCCAGACCTACTAACCTCCTCTGTCACACAAATCTATTTCACTACATATCATATTAAGAAATAATAATTGCACACATAACTTACCATCTTCATTGAGGAACAGTTTGTTGAATCTTAGTCCACTAGGTTCTTTACCAACATATCTATGTACATAATCAGTACCAAGATCATTAACAGCAATAGCATACTTCAAAGGCTTTACACAGGACTGAAGACAAAATGGGACTTTGGTATCTCCGATGGAATGCCTGTAAAATAAATACTATATTATTTATTGCATTCACTCACATTTTTCCTGAGAAATAAAAAAATGTGTATCTTAAAGCAAAGACTTGGGGGGGGGGGATTATGAACCACTGCTGTACCAAAGATCACCTAAGAGTCTATTTCATCTTTAATATGGTGGAAAACACATTCCACCACATTAAAAATAAAAGAAAAACCACTTACCCTATTTCCTTGAAAATAAGACCTCCCCGGATAATAAGCCCAATTAGGCTTTTGAGTGCATGTGCTAAAATAAGCCCTCCCTGAAAATATTGCAACACAGCAGCAGCTATGAGGTAACCATGCTCGCAGCCTCCTGCACCTCAAAAATAATAAGACCTCCCTGAAAATAAGGCCAAGCGCTTATTTTCAAAAGAAAATAAAAGATCCTGTCTTATTTTCGGGGAAGCATGGTAGCNCCTCCTGCACCTCAAAAATAATAAGACCTCCCTGAAAATAAGGCCAAGCGCTTATTTTCAAAAGAAAATAAAAGATCCTGTCTTATTTTCGGGGAAGCATGGTAGCAAATCCTGAACAGTTATTTGAGAGACTTGCAATACTCAGAGTAAACATAAGCAAATAGGTTTAGAAATAAATAAGTTATCTTCTTAATATTAAATAGCTACACAAACTCAATATTCAAGGAATTGAGATAACTACCATATGAAAATATTTCAACATCCAAAGAATTTGGATGGTATGAATAGAAAGGCAGGGTATACATTCAGTAATAAAATAAAACAAAGCAAAACAAAATATTAGTAAACATAATAAGCAATTTGTATCATTCAATGGAAGCATGCATAATGTAGAGAAAAATTATTGTCATTATTCTTTATCATATTATCAGAAATTATGGTCATTCAACAAAGCTGAACAGTGATTCCTTTTAGCCAGTAAATGTTTTGTTGTTTATATTTACTAAGCATGCATGTCAATATTATATGGAGCAGCAAACATTAAAAACATTTTAAATAAATTGTGCAAATAAGATCAAATATAAGCAAATGACACTTTGCATAATTAAAACCAATAGAAAAAATGAATTTCTTTCTCCTAATTGTACAAATTATCTGCTCAAACTAAAAAGTTTCTACTACTTCAAATCTTTATGGAAACAAAACTTTGTGGTTTCAAAATGGCTATTCAAGAATTGCATAATATATGTTGAATTGCACAACACTGAGCATTTATATTAGATTCATGTTAATTCCTACTTTAATTTCTCCTTTAAACATTCTTATATATTTGATGCCCTTTTCATTTTCAAGACCTTTTCTGATGATCCAAGATAACATGCTTAAGGTCTGTGAATCAGATCATATTTAAAAATATTAAGTGGACAAGATAAATTTTAATTTCTCATAGTTCATAGAAATCTGTCATAACTCTCATTAACAAGTAATTTCTAATACTATTGTATCTTCTATTTTTTAGAATAACATTTTCCAAGGATAATTATTTGCAACAATCCATTTCTTGTCCAAAACTGGATTTTAGCTTGTGAAAATGTAGCTTTATGCTTTCTAGCCTTGGAGAAACAGGGCATGTCAATAAAATTCAGTAATATCTATATCACTAAATCAAGAAAGGAATCATGACAATCTGTATATGGGTGTGTGAAAAAAGTGAAGAGTTTTGTATGACCCCCAGGAATGGATTATAAAACTCTAATTAATAACATTGTAGCATAGCATGAGTAATTAAATTAGGATTATTCAATGCACAAAAAGCCTGTAAATTATCAACAGTGACGTTGTTTTGAGGAACAGGGGGTGTAATAGAATCATTTCAAAAAAGGAACTCTTAACTTCTGAAACATCATCCTATTTTCTACTAAAAATTGGAATGCTCTAAGCAGAACTAAAAATCCTATCTTTTCTCTAGTACCATAAGAAACATACATCATGGATTATGCAGAACTATCTTATATTTGTAATTTAACTCCTCAAAGGGTGTCTCTGCTTCTGTTTCTATAACTGAAATTATTTCATCGGTTCAGATATTTAAGCTACAATACCTCTGCCCATCGACTGTGCAAAGAGACACTGCCCATAAATCAGGACTGAATTTAGCCAGTTGTGGGATATAGTCCGCAACCTACACAAAACAAATCCAATATAAAATAATTAGATTATATAGCTACCAATAATGAATACATGAAATCCAGCTAGTAAAAAGCTAGTAAAATACTAAAAGGCACAAACACTTATCTAACGTCTCCCCCAAACTATCCCAATTTTTTAAAAGCAGAATCTACCAAACAAACAAAAACAAAAAACAGGTTCATTATGGTTTTGTTCTTGTCCACTTTATATGAAAAATTGTAAAGTTGATGGAAACTATTTTTAAGAATTCACTCAAGGTTAGCTGCACTTTTTCTTTCGTAAATATATCAATGAATAATTTGCAAGTCTCTGGTGTCTCTATTATCAGCCCAATTGGGTCTGCCACTCTAGGACTAGTTTTACTGTACACATAATGTTGTTAGATGCTGCCACTGTCAATATTTGATCCCAACTAGTATGTTTTATAAGGCATGATTTATAGTTCAACATTATGTGAATAAGCCAAAATAGCTTTCTAAAAGCATAATAAAAATGTAGCATGCTACACATTATCAATTGCAGAGTTATCATGCAGACAAAAGTTTGCATACTTTCTTTTCTAATCACTTTTGGAAATGGCTTGAAATCTAACTTTTCTAATCACTTTTGGAAATTGCTTGAAATCTAACTATGAGATACTTTGGGGTCATCAGGTTTTATACCACGGGCGAATTTCCTTCAAACCTTAGTGAAATAAGTTTTAAATACAAATTTAGGGTCTTGCTTTATTTTTCCTGAAATAAACAGCAAAAAAATTAAAACTTTGATTTGAAAATTACAAAGAGACTAACAGTCCATATATATTTGAAATAAGATTTTGAAATTAATTATGAAGAATCTTTTTCTTGGGACACTGCATTTATTTTGAATTGCTTAAAAAGCATACCAAGATAAAACTTTAAAAATTGTGCACCAAAGGAAACTGGGAGGATTTAATTAAAGAATTTAAAAACTAGCTAAATAATTAATTACTTAATTAAAGAACAAGAATCAAACTTGACTAATATGTAATGAAGCAAATATTTTAACTATGGACACATTGACCAATACTTTTGAACAGAAATTAATCTTAAGTGTGTCTACCTCTATAGTGTTTAAAAACGCTGTAGAAAAGAAACATGTATTATCTGACACAATCAAGATTGATTTGAAAGTATATTTTAAAATGATAGGCTACATGAATGACTTTAAAATGATTTTAGAAAAGAATCCAGCTGATGTCCTAATAATTAAAAATGATATAAAAATAACAAACCAAGAGAATGGCTGGGATAATTTGTTAAAGTTTTGAGGATTCTTGTGAGAAAGGACAAAGAAAAAAAAAGAAATCAAGACCTGTGTCATTATTTGAATGGACTAAAATTGATTAGAAGTAAAACGAAAGAATAGAAAATTGATTTTTTAGATCTAAACTAAAATGGGTATGTTGTTACCTTAATGGACTTTTGATGACATAAAGACTGAAATGACAAAGTTATATGGATTTGTCAATAGAGAAGAGAAGGGGTATGGGAAGAAGAGACAATTTATTGTATTTTAAAAGAAGGTGATAAGTTACTAAAATTGTTTACACTTGTGATTAAAAGTAATTTTTTCTTTATTATATTCCAATTTTTATTTATTTTTTTATTTTTCCCTTTTTTCATTTTTGCATCTTCCATTTTTTCTTTTTTTAGTTTACACTAGTTTTTAATTATTGTAATTTGCAAACTTTAATAAAATGACTATATAATAAAAATATTTTCATAAGAAAGGTATTATATGAAATGATTAACGTAGTCTGGGTTTTTTTTCAGATGATAGCATCTTACATAATATTATGACTGTTCTTTCATGCAAGTATAAAAATATTCTAGAGACAGAATACTTGCTTCTACAAAAAACAGAAGGGGGAAAAATACCATTCACTCACTGGTTATAATTAAAAATCCAACACATAACCAAAACTAACTTACTGTCTTAAATATTCCAATATTCTATTGGATTTGCTTTAATTATTTGTACACATAAAGGAGAAAAACAACATGATTGAGAGGGGGGGGAATAATACCTCTGTGCATATTGGATGTGTGTGTGTGTGTGCGCGCGCGCGCGCATGTATATATGTATGTATGTATTTGTGTGTGTTTTCTGTGTAAGATTGAGATTGTCTTGGCAACATTTTGGCGAGGTCTCACTCGCCATCCTCAGGCTGGTGTTTTCGGCTTAAAATGTGATCGGAGCTGCTGTCTTTCTATAAATCTTGATGGGAGTGTGTGAAGTGCTGGGGTTGTTTCAGTAAGTGGATTGATTGGATGTGTGGCTGTATCATGATTGGTAGATTGGTGCTGACTGTGTGTCCATTGTTGTTTTGTGTTGTAACGGCCTGGGTGGTGGGTGGTGCTCGTTTGTTGACTAGGGCTGGTTTCCAGATGTCTGGTAGGTGGGAGGTATCGTCACGTTTATTCATGTTGTGGGGGTGTTTCTCTATTTTGATAGCTTCCATAATTATTCTCTTGTTGAAGTGTTCTGTTTTGGAGATTAACCTGGTTCCTTCAAAATTAATTTCATGTCCTGTAGCTTTAAGGTGCTGGAAAAGGGAGAAAGTTTTTCCTTTTTTTCTTACTGTGTTCTTGTGTTCTTGTGTTCTGTGATGCGTGCATTTATTCTCCTGTTCGTTTGTCCTATGTATGTTGCAGGGCAGATTTTGCATGGTATTTCACAGACTTCTTGGTTTTCTAGCTGGATCTTGTCTTTGGAGTTTCTTAAGAGATTGGCTATTTTTTGGTCAGTGTTGAAGGCTGTCTTGATATTGTGTTTGTGGGGAATTTTGCTGATTTTATCTGTGGTGCCTTTGATGTAAGGGAAGAGGGCGATGCCATTGTCCTGTTCTGTGTCTCAGTTTTTGGAGGGAGTCTCCCTTTGGATTAGGTTGGTAATTGTTTTTCTTTGGAAAAACATTAATCTCCAACGGATTCCAAAGAAAAACAAAGAAAGAAAGAAGCAAATAATGACTATGGGATACTAGCTGGATACCCATGCTTCGTGACAAAACTGTGTGATCGGGCTATGCAGGAGAAATTCGGTTCACAATCCATTGACTCAGTGGTGGTCGGTGATTGAAACACATAAGGGAATATTGCTCCCACCACCTTGAGTCCGTAAGCAGTTCAATAGATAGACATTTTGGTGAGGTACCGACATTTAGTACTGTAAGGAGTGCCAGACCATTCCTGAGTGAAGCAGTGGAATGTCTGCCAGTTTGAACTGAGGTAATGGAATGTGAGGCAACTAGCAGTTGGAGCAGTGGGGAGGGGGAGTAGAATGTTTAACTGCTTAGCTTCAGAGCGTGTTAATATAAGGCAACTGACAGTTGGAACAGAGTTCTTTTCAGGTGGGGAGGGGGAGTAGAACTCCTTAGCATCAGAGTGTGTTAATTACTGTACAAGAAATACTAATAAGTTGATAGTCATTTCGAAAAATCCTTTCTTAACGAGCACCTAGAAGCCAAGAGGAACATACGTGCCAAATTTCAAATTTGTAGGCTTTACAGTTCTGGAGATTTCGTGATGAGTGAGTGGTGTTTGCCTTTTATACAGTATACAGAAAAGATTGCATGCATTGGCTGCCAAATGCCAAAACACAATCACATAACCATCAAGACATTAGAATGATAACAACTCTGAGAATCACTTGTAATTCTCTTTTTTTTAGTACTGCCATAAATTTGAACAGAAGCTGAATGAGCAATTGTTAAGTGAAGACTATTTGTACTTAAAACCATCCTTCAGTCCACAGATCAATGAAAATCATATGGAGAACATTCTATATCTTTCTACCAAGATTGGTGGCATGATCTCAGGATGATTTGAAGGGCACAAACAATGTACTGCAGCTGGCCATCTCTATATTGCCACCAATTATTTTTAATAAGACACTTACCTTCCCTCCTGACTGTTTTTTAGCATTTTCATATAACTCATCAATGTGAGAGGCAAATGACACAAAATCAGGAATGACAAATTTTCGTCTGAAAGCCTGAGTTAGTAACACAATGTTGCTTTGGACACATCTGTGAAATACAAAATAAAATATTATAACATGAGTACAAATACCATATGTCTTTCACTACAGAGATAATACAAGTGCTTCTAAAATCTAAATAATAGTATTGTATCCAAAGATATCATTTACTGAAGGTAATATATCAACTACTGACATAATGCACACTTTTGGTCTCCTTTGTGCTCTTCTTCTTTCCATGAAATCAGATGTGGGGGAATTGAATATTGAAAAATATTTCTGAGCAGTACTCATTTACAACATTTTGTACTAGCCTCATTATTCCATACTATAAACAAGTTGTAGCAAATAAATTAAGGTATTTACTTTTTAAAGAGTTCTTTGTCTAGCATGACACCATCTGATGTTGTCTGAAGCGTCAATCTTAACATATCCATGCATTCTTTCAGTCTCGGATCAGCTGTTCGTAAACCTGTAGATTTTAAAGCCTGTAAAATAAAAAAGGTGTCACGGATATTTCTTCTTCTGAACACTAATTCACATAATATCGGTTCTGATTCCCACCTGATCTTCTTTTCCAATAGACTGCAATAGATAGTTCACAGACATTTCTGTTTTCTGTGTTTTGTTTTAAAATACATATAACCACACTCCCTAAATGTGAATAAAATGATAAGGCAGCCTTCTTTAAAACTTAACATTTCTGTGACACTCAGTTTTAGTAACCTTCCCATAAAGTGATCATTACCAAACCTGTATGTTTTCAAAAATAAAAAGATGACTAATTTACCTAGCACATCATTCATTAGAAACATGATAAAAAACTTACTGTGATGAACTTATGAACTGGTATTTTTTCTTGTCCTTCTGCAATAGTATAGAAGAGCAAATCTTCCAAGCTAGGCAACAAACCTCCTTTACTAAGGAGAGAACACAGATAGGGGGAGAAATCAAGTATTAGTTTGTCACGATCTTAAATCAATGCAATTCTATAAAATATACTCCTATGAAAATCTATTCTTAATTAAATCTTAGAGTGAAACATAGTTTCATATATACACACACAATGAAATATAAATCCTACAGTGAAAGTTTCACATACACATTAATTATACACATTAAATGTCATTAATTATTATTTAAACACTATATTTGTTCTTCCATAGACATTTTTATTTATTTTTTTCTATCAAAATAGGACACAAGTAACTATATATGCCAATATAACAACATTTTGCTATATAGTAAATTTCCAATTAATACACAAGTTCAATCTTTCAATCTTGCCTCCTTGCTAGATAACTAAAAAAATCTAAGTATGCAAAGTTTTCTTCTTTGAATTTTTAAAAAAACTGATACAGGTGGTAATTTGTGACTAAAAATCAGTAAAATATAAGATTAATTTGCAAATTTTAAATTCCATATAACATTTAACATAGATATACTTTTAAGAAATGTGCATGTTTAAAATGTTCAAACATTAAGGCTTAGTTCAACTTCTTAAAGTAGTTTTTAAATAACTTCATAGATTATATATCATTGACATCTGTTGCAGTTAAATCAACCAGATTAGCCCAGTATTTAGTTATGGCACTGAACTAGCTGATACAGAAAGCATGGCAAACATTTATTTTACTTACAGAAAATATCTCAAATGGACTATTCTTGGATAAAGCTTATCAGTTTAAACTGCAGTATAAGCTTTTCTCCCTCTATTTCACAGCTCAATAATGTTATGTAATATTTGTTTAGCCTAAGAGCAGTGTTTTAGCATCATTAAATACTTAGAAAAATACATATTCAGCATAACCAAAAAGAACTAAGACAGAAAGTGGACATGGCATTGTCACCATTATCTTTACTATGTGGAAGTGAGTGTTTATTCACTGCAAAGTCTGTACTGAAAAAATAAAGAGAGAAGCTCATTTGAAGCCATAAGGCACGGCACGTCATTTTGGTAGAACAAAGATAATGCTGGCCTTCAAACATCTATTACATGTTTGTTTGTTTGTTTAATGTAATGTTTATTAACATTTGTAGGCCGCCCTTTTCCCTGAGGGGACTCAGGGCGGCTCACATAAAATCAGGGAGGGGAAATACAAACAATGACATAGACACATATAATAAAAGTAATAAGCAACATACATTCATCATTCGGGAGGGGCAACTATCCTTGTCCCCAGGCCTGACGGGCTAGCCAGTTCTTAAGGGCTGTGCGGAAGGCCTGGACGGTGGTGAGGGTACGAATCTCCACGGGGAGTTCGTTCCAAGGCCATAAAGTGACTTTTAAAGAGGTTCTGAATCTCAGTTCTGAATGAAGTTTGGGCCCTAACACTTTATATTAAAACCAAGTTCCAAAATATCAAATTTGACTTATATTAAGAAATAACATTACTTAAAGAAGTTGAGAGCATTTGAAGTAAGGCATTAGCTAGAAAAGAAGTAACAAGTTTGTGCCCTATAATAAGACCGCAGCAGAAGACTGATTAAACTAATACTGAGACAGCAAAATCTGTAAGTAAGATGCCAAGGTTAGCTAAAAGCAAAGACTGCAAAAATTCTGGAACTATACAGACCTGTATTTTGAAAACACTATGCACACAGAGTTGGAAAAGACTCTGTTGTTGGGAAAGATTTAAGGCAAAAGGAGAAGGGGACAGCAGAGGATGAAATGGTTAAGATAGTGTCATTGCTACAGTGAACTTGAATTTAGGCAAACTCCAAGAGACAGTGGAGGACAAAGTCTCGGAAACTATGGTCCATTGGACCGCAAAGAGTCAAACACAATTTAGCAATTGAACAACATGCACACTGAGTGCTTTTAGATAATTGCATTGGCTCATAAATACATTGGGGATTCTAAGGAGATATCTGGCTCAAATGCTACATAGGAGAGTAACCTTATTAATGTCTTAATAAAGTAGAAATCAAATCAAATATTTATTACAGTTATAGACCAGCATATATACTGCAATTACTATAATTAAAGACAAATGTCTTTTCTCACTGTACACCCCTTTATCTTCCCATCTTCTCCAGTTTTACTACAGCAACAAATGAGTAACTTTAACTTCTCTTTCTTTGCCCCCTCCATTTCATGTTACTCTTACCCACATTTCCATGACACTTCTGCAAACATGAAATGAAAAAGCACCCATTCTCTTTTCCCCTTTTCATTATATGGAGGACAAAGACAAGAAATACAGTAGCAAACCTTAATGTGAAATAACACAAATGTTCCTTTTTGTCTTTTTTTTTACTTTTCTTACTGCTACAATTGTTACCCATTCCAGTTGTCTGCTGGTCAAAGAAAATAAAAACCAATATAGCATTATGGGAAATAGAAAAAGAATGTTGTAGTGGATGCATATAAAAGCACATATCCACAGAGGTATGACAGTTGCATGATGATAATGAAAGAATCAGAGTTACGTTTTAGAAAAAATATGCAACATTCTGAATACATACAATTTGGAGAAAAAAATGGCATTAGGTGATATAGATGGATGGGTTTGGATGAGACAAAAGAATGAAATGAATGAAAGCTCAATGAAACCGTTTGGAAACTCCCTATTATTATTAGCATGGGGGTATAAAATACGGTATGTTGTAACAGCCCTTAGTATGGCTGGTGACCTGTACATAATCCCACTGCCTTATTAACATCCTAGCATTTGAATTTTTAACCTGATTTAATTTTACTTCTAAGTTTTAACTTGTTCTTAATACTGTTTTAAGATTTATGTATTTTTATTTATGTATTTATTAGTTTTATTAAGGGACGAGGTGGATCAGTGGCTAAGACGCTGAGCTTGTCGATCAGAAAGATTGGCAGTTTGGCGGTTCAAATCCCTAGCGCCATGTAATGAGTAAAGTAAAGCTCCCGTTACTTGTCCCAGCTTCTGCCAACCTAGCAATTCGAAAGCACATAAAAATATGCAAATAGAAAAATAGGGACCACCTTTGGTGAGAAGGTAACAGCATTACATGCGCCTTTGGTGTTTAGTCATGCCGGCCACATGACCATGGAGACATTTTTGGCCAGCGCTGGCTCTTCGGCTTTGAAACGGAGATGAGCACTGCCCTCTAGAGTCGGGAACAATTAGCACATAAGTGCAAGGGGAACCTTTACCTTTACCTATTAGTTTTAATGTTCTATTGTAAATCACCTAGAGTGACTTAGATGAGATATGCAGTGTAGAAATTTAATAAATAAATAAATGTGATTGTTTATGATAAAAAACCCTGAAAGAATTATGAATTACAGCAATGAGTTTGTAATGTGGGATAGAAGATTATTTAGTAATGTTGAATGGATCTTGGAGAAAAAAAATGAAAAATACAAAAGAAAAAAAGTATTGGAAGATGAATTCAATTTTTGACAAAACAAGTAGAAACAGGATATAATGAATACATAAAAATACCCTGGACCAGCATAAAAATAATTAAATGAAGAGGGCCACTTAAGTGGGTGGCATTACATTAAAGAGAAATATGTAAATTGATATTTGGTAGATTGACAAACTGCAAGAAACGATTGATAAGAAACAAAATGCATACAAAAGAATGATTACTGCAAAAAAATGTGGTGGGCTTTCATCATAAAATTAATTATTTGACATGAAACTAAAATGAAGGAATACTAGAAGGATTACTGTATTACTTTATTGGAATTGCAATGATTTGTCAAAGAATGCAATTGAAAGAATCCTGGATCATATTCAATACTAGAAAACATATTCTTTCAAACATAGAAGCCAATTTATTTTTCTTCCATTAATTTTACATTTTTAATGCAATTTCCCTTCCTGATCCCACCTGATGGTAAGCAAGTAGGATTGCTGGTGGTGGTGTTATATTTAAACTTTAAAATACTTTTTATGGGAATATTTTAGCTATTTACTGTATCTATACAGAATTTCATGCAAAACTTTTGTAGTAAAGAGACTAAAGAAATTTCTGGCGCCATAAACAACTGCCACATTGCAAAATTTATGATATAGTTTATTCTAATGTAAATATCAATCCAGGCTAATTCTGAAACTTGCTGAAGTGAAACCCCAATCCAACAGATCAGGGGCAGCTGTTCAGCATGGAGATAGCAGAGCATGTGAACAAAGGAAACATTAAGGGACAATTCAGGATCTCTTTCCTCTCTCCCATCTCTCCCTTCAGGAGGAAGAAGATGATGAGTAGCACAGGGTTACATAAAAGAAAAAACACCAATGCACAGACAGAACCATGCATTGCAAATTTGTTCCGTTGCATATAAAATTCATTAAATTGGGCCTTTGTGCATACAAAAGTGTGATAAAGCAAAAATTGAAGTGTAAAAGAATCCACAAACCACAACAAAGATTATTCTTATATACAGTACATGCTGCCACTGGGGAACATAATAAAACCAACAGTAAAGGATACAGTAGAAAGAAGGAACAACATTTACATCTACATTCATATGGAAAAGGAAGCTAGGGAGCTGACATTGAAAAGCTTTTACTGGTACTATTAAATTCTAATGAAATTTGTCAATTTCTAAAAGTGTAATTTTTCAAAAAAATTAGCATCAATATATGGATATGATATTAAACTGTAAAATTTCAAAATTCATTTTTTTCAAAATCATTGTAATTAGAAATATCTGTACATCTAAAACACAATTCTTTATTAATGCATTTTAAATGCAAATAAGCTGCTGGGCGGGGGGGGGGGAGGAAAATGCAGCAAACTATTCTTCAGTCAGCCTGTCATCTAAACCAGTGGTCCCCAACCTTTTTATCGCCGCGGACCAGTCAGCCTTTGATAATTTTACCGTGGCCCGCTGAGCG